CTAGTGTGGTGGATTCCCGTGCATAATCGACCAAACAAAAAACCAAACAAAAGAAAAATATTGTAAAATAGATTAAGGAACACATAAATAGTTTTCCAGTGCGCGAATCACACTAGTCACGAAATGAAAATAAAAAGACATATCTATCAGCAGAATTAAATGTGTGAAAAATCCAAGAACTTTATTTGAAAAATATGATCCCGAGCAATATTGTCTGTTAAAAATGCACGAAAAAATAAAAACCTACAGTAACGTATTATTACTATTATAGGTATTTCAAAAAACACTTAATTTGTCACTTGGTTATCCACGATCGAACATTTGTGCTACTTGTGATCTGTTGAAAATACAACTTGATGCTGCTTACATACAACTTAAGTACCACCTGAACGTTCAAAAATAAGTTCATCTCCACAAAGCCCAAGCGTTCCACGTTGACTTGAAAGAAAAAAATAAATTGGCACAAGTCGACGAAATTGTGCAGACTATTTGTTTCGATTATTAGCAAAATTTGTGATTTCTTGGTTTGACTATGGGAGAAATATTTTATGCTAGGCAGATCTGAGTTTACAACCAAATTTTTTACTCTTCTTCTTACAGTTATATGTTTGACGAAACAGTTGCGAAGAAACGCTCCATAGAAATTGTATCCTTTTTTTGTGGCATTTTAAAACAGAAGTAGATTAAAAGTTCTGTTACTGTTCTGTATTATATTTACTGACAACTGTAAGGGATAGAACAAAAATGCTGTTATGGTCCATTTCTTTTTAACTTTAGCCAAGAACGGAAGTTTTTCAAAAATAATACACCATTTACCCGAGCCAGGTCACAGCTTCTTACCATGTGCCGAGATTTTGCACAAATTAAAAAAAAAGAAGCGTAAGGAAAACATTTTGTATTTATCCGAAGAATGGTATTCATTAGTTGAAAGTTGTGGTAAAAATTCACTGTGGAACGTGTAACATAGGACATGGTGTTTGATTTCAAAACATTTCTCGAACCTTTTTTTTTTTTTTAAAAATTCGCTGTGGTTAAAAAGCGCCCTTTTATTTTATTAAAATATAAATTATTTATATATGATTCTGTATCTAAGAATGTTTTGGTAACTGAAGCACATAATTCTTTCTCTTTATCGTCAGATGCTTTAAATAAAAGTTCAGGAACGATTATTGACCTAAACGGAGCTTCTCTGGCTTATAAGGAAAAGATACTACTGAAATCAGCAAAATAAGATAGCATTATGCCAGCATTTAGTGGAAAAATATGATCCCCTTTTTTGCCAAACAATTTATGATACAATCAAACGGGCAGATGCGGATTGCCAAAAAATGATGATTCTGATTAGAGTGTTTTAGACTTGTCCTCTTTTATTTTATTTTTGATTTTTTATTATTGTATACTCATGGACAAAAATATCGAATATTTTGGAATTTTCCAATTTTTTTGTAGTCATTATTATTTCAAAATAATTTATATGGATATGCACAAAAAGTTATCGCACGACGTCTCAGCAGAACTGAATCTATAGTTTAGAGTATTTGAAAAAGGTACCGCGAAACAGGAAATTTTTCTAGGAAAAGGACCTAGTCAAGGACGTCCAAGGTCCACAACCGCAATGGATGACCGTTTTTTGCGTCTTAATTCTACACGAAATCGTTCATTGACATCGATGCACCTCAGAAATGAGCTACTAGATGTTAAACAAGTTAATTCACAAACGTTAGGCGAAGATCAAAAGAAGCAAACTTAAAGCCCAGACGCCCCGCCAAAGTTCCACGTCTTCTCCAAAATCATAAAGCTCGTCGTTTGGAATTTGCAAGAACACATATTTAGTGGAATATAGACAACTGGAAAAACGTTCGTTTCACTGATGAGGCCAGAATCCTATTATGGAGGCCAGAATCCTATTATGGAACAACCAATTTAAAGGTATACTATTTATAATTGAAATAGATTTCTACTGAGTAAGAAGTACTTTATTTAAATACACACAACAAAAAAGAACCACCGCTTAATGGAAATATACCAAAAGTCAAAGGAATAATCGGATGTAATTATACCTAATTACTTGTACCCGGCCGAAATATTTATTCGGCCAACTTGGACGGTGCCAGAGGAGCCCGTTTCCAGAGACGTTTTTCTCATTTTTCTCAAAACTATGCAATGTGAACGTGGATGGTTATTGCACCAAACCCTTCAATTGTGGTCAACTATCGTATATAAAGAAAACCAAAAACAAACAAAATAAATCAAGGTTAATTAAAATCGATCGACGAGATCCGGATATTAACTTCAGCCAGTTTTAAAAACGTATTTTTTCTCAAAATCTTTAATCTCCGGATTCAGTCGGTGGATTTTAATAAAACTTGATGCATTTTGTTTGTTCCGATTTTCTCTATAATAGTTTGCCACAATTTGACAAAAAAAAGTGACTTTATGGAGGACCGCCATTTTGTTTTGTTTTACGAATTTTCAATTTTTTTGGTAAACTATCACGTAAGGGCACTTCTTTTTTAAAATCCTTCTCGAATTTTATGTTTCAGATTTGCCATTCCAGAGATTACTGTCCGCCATAGAGCAGTAATTTTTGGACGAAAAGTTTTTGGCACTAAAAAAATTGTTCAAGATGTGTCGTTTTTTACTATTTTAGATGGTACATATTTCAAACGAAGTTCTGAAGGCATAAATAAACAATTATTAAAATGCCTATTACGTTGTGTACCGTCCAAGAAAAAGTGCAACTTGTAACATGGTACTTTCAGGTCATTCGATACGCGAAGTAATTGATTTATTTATTGTTGCCTTCGAAAATAGACCCCCACCAAGTGTTACAACAGTTAAAAATACCATTAAACATTTTCAAACTTGGGGATGTGTAAACAGTTGTAAAAAGTGTCATGAAGGTCACGTGTTAGACCTGTCGATCAAAACAGGGATAATATTTGTCCTTTTGTGAAAGCTAGTGAACCCTGCAATAGTGTACAAATTGCTAGGAAAGTTAACGTGAAACCTCGAACTGTCCAGCGAGTTCTCAAAAGGAATGGGTATCACTGTTTTAAGATATAACCAATACAAGAACTGTTTCCGTAAGATAACTTTAGGCGGATGGAGTTTTGTGAATTTATGTTAGATAAACAGAATGAAAATGTACACTTTTTAAAAAATATTTTATTTTCTGACAAATCTTCATTTTCATTACATAAAACACAATCCATCCGTTGCAAGGTATTATTCTCGGAAAAATATGCACCTCAGTGTTGCAGTGCGAACGCAGCATCCGCAAAAGTTAAATGTTTGGTCTGGAATGTTAGGCGACCATATAGTCGGTCCATTTTTTATCGATGGAGACCTAAACGGGTCCAAATATTTACAACTTTTACAGAATGAGATCATTCCGGCAGTTCGACGCCTTCCCGTTAATTTTCAGGAGGTTTATTTCCAACAGGATGGGTGTTCGGCTCACAATTCTAGAGCAACTATTGACTTCCTCAATGAAACATTTCCTGATCGACTGATACGTACCCGTTGGACAATTAAATTTCTCGCTAGATCCTGTGACTTAGCGCCCAACGATTTCTTGTTTTTGGGTTTTCTCAAAGAAAACATTTATCAGTTTGAAAGGGCCAAAAACCTAGTCGAATTAAGAGCAAAAATACTTCCATTTCTCTGCAAGCGTTACTCCAGCCCTACTCCAAAATATGAGGAGAAATCTGTATGACAGATTTGGTTACTGTTTAGCACAAGGAGGTGGAATATTTGAGCCCTTAATTCATTAATCTGCTTTAGAATTTTTTATTTTTTGTTAGGTATATTTTAGGAAGTTTGTAGGTTCTTAATTAGGTAGTATTTTTTATGTTTCAAGTTTGGAAGAATTTTATTGCTTTTTTTAATTTATAAGTACAAACGATTCTTATTCTGATTTTTTTTTATTATTTCTTGTCTTATTGTTATAAGCTTTGTCCATAAAATTTGTACAATTTTCAGTAACAATAAAGCATATTACTTATTTAGATTGGGATGGGATTGCAATAAATCTTAATTCCTACGGCCAACAACTCCATGTCGTTATTTGTATAATATACTGGCTCATTATCATTATAAGATGATACAAAATATATCCGAAATTTTGGTAAGTATGATGACGAGACTATCGTTAGTATAACTGATGTTTTACAAATTTCCTCCAAATCTTTAGTTTTACTATTAATAAAAGTATGATCGGATCAAGATTTCAAGGTAATCTAGTGTACTTGCTAAAGGTGTGGAAGTAAAGAGTTAGGTTAGTTAAGACAATTAAATCTATATATAGAAACGCTAAACGTCAGCGAAAAGTTGTTATCTTTATCATGATCAGTAATTTTGCTGGATAGGTCAACACTAACAACACACATTAAATGAAGGTTTTTACTTAAGGTAGATATTCCAATACGATTTTTTACTTCATAACAATAAATTTCAACACGAGACATTATATGACATAAAGAAAAAGAAACACGCATTGTTTTTGATTTTAGACACGAGTTATAAATAGCTGTGTGAGATTCAGTTTCTCCATATCGTCGATCGAGAGCAGCGGACATTACAACTTCTGACTCACACTGCTGTGTACTTTCTAAAAAGAGACAAAAGTAACAATGAATTATTTCAAATAGATTTTGACTTTATTTTCCGGGATTTATGATTATATTTATATAACTTAATGTATTTTTTATAAACCAATGCATGATACACTTGTTGTATGCTGTCTTCTTTGTTGATGTTGTACTTAAAACTCCAGAACATGTGTCTGTGGCTCAATGAGCACAACGTTGGAACGTAGACAAGTGAGAAGTATTAAACTCAAAATTGACAATGTGTCACAATGTTTGCAAATATATAAAAAGTGATGTAACATCTCTAAGCAATTCTTACTTTGTTGTCAATTACAAATAATTCAGACTTTATGACCTATAGCAGCGAGATTATGATGAAATCGATATACTAGTATTAAAAGAAAAATCAAATATTTTAACAATTTATTGGAAAACTAACACCGTAATATATAAATAAACACAACACATTGACTATTTTAAAAACTTGGTTATACTTTTCAAACAAAACACAATTTGTTAGGCTACTCTACAATATTATAATCTTATATAATATATGTTTATGATATATATAAAATACATAAAAAAGTCTTTATAATGTTTTTATCAAAACATAGTGTTTTATTTAAAAATAAGATTATTTAATAAGATACCAGACGAAGTGCGTTTCGTTATAAAGGTATGTCATTTTGCATTATAAAACAAAGTTTGTTTTCATTTTTGGACAATGTGCAATTGTGACAGCATTCATTGGAGCATGACTTCTTTACCTCTAGACGGAACCTTGAGATTTGACAACACTAAAAATAGGGTCTTAAGGTCGATTCAGACACATCAGTCCCGTCATAGTCTCGGCGCCGAACCGGTCCTGTTTGGTCACAGAACTATCAACTATCTGACAGCTGGAAAACTGTTTGTCAACTGATGAGTGTGAATGCCGGCAACATATTTGTATTAAAGAATATTTTGTATGACGGATTGTTCGGTTCGGCGCAATCACTGTGACGAGACGTGACTGATGTGTCTGAATCGACCTTAAGAAATTCTGGAAAGCATCTGTTTGAACACGCATTCCATTAATATAGCACGTGCAAGCGTAGACGTAATAGTTTTCAGAAAAAAAAAAACAGCTTATTAGGTACGGAAATGTATAGAGAAGGACAGATCATCGCCTACCGAAGATCATACTGGATTGGTGCCACCTGAGCACAAAAACGTGGAAGATAAAATGGCTTAATAAAGTCCGAAAGGCAATGTCAGAAAGAGATCTATGATCAGGCGAGTGGGTCCATAGACGTAGATGGAGACTGGGAACCGAGAGGCACAAACGCCTTAAACCGAACATATATATATATATATATGTTAATTATATTGTGGAATCATTTTGAACAGAATATTTGTGAATATGTTAATTATATTGTGGAATCATTTTGAACAGAATATTTGTGAATATGTACATACTACAGGAACCAAAGGCTACAAACTACAAAACAATGAAAAGTTTTTTATTTGGAATATAGAATGAGAGATGAAAAATATGGGAAATTAAGATTGATTTTAATGTGTAGGATAGAAGTAGGAAGAAACCCAGGGAGAAAAAACATTCGTGACATCGAGATATAAGAGTTTCGGGTGGAAGTCGCTGAAAACGTTTGTATATGAAAAACAAGGAGTTTCACATAATCCAGACAATCAAAGAAAATCTGTACAAAAGGTATAAATTTGAACCCCGAATGAGAAAATTTTACATAAAAATGCAGCTGAAACTTTTCTAACTTGGCACCTATGAATAAATTTATAGAAATAAGAAATCGGATCTATTTAACTTATGTCAAAAGATGTTACTGTTGCACTTATTCTGGTCTTTTATTAAATACGCTGTGATTATGAATAAACAAATATTTACGTAATACAAAAACTAAAAATAATCTCTTTTTAACCTGCAGATAGGCAAAACACAGCCTTAGTATGTTTCAAATGGTAACATATATAAAAAAAGCGTAGTTAACATATATAAGAAAAATATTTTAAATATGTTTAAACATATTGATTAAATAAACCTACATTCGGTTTAATATCATATGGTTTAAACAAGGATTTGACATTAATGTAACCTTCAATAGATGGTGTTACATGGGAATTAATTTCTGTCAATTTTGACATCTCTCATACACATCTGACATCATCTAACGCATGGCGTTTCACCGTCAAAATTAGACGATTTATGATACAAATTTATTGACTACCCGCCTTATTCATCAGGTTATGCCAAATATGAAGCCACAGTTGAAATTTCGCATTATTTTGAAGAGTTGAAGTAAAATAACTCTCTCGAAGAGATAAAAATCTTGAAAAAACATCTTATCAAATGTATGGCTTTAAAAGGAAGTATACGCTGAAAAATTGTGCGTTTTATTACTTGACTAGATTAATTGTATATTTTATACGTGGAGGAGCTGCAAATATTCTAAATGTAAACATTTGAACAAAAAACCGTTACATGTTTTATTATATTTTATAATCCACGTGTATTTTTTATTTATATATGCCATGAAGACACTAAGTATATTTAAATTTAGTTTTAGGTTAATAAAATAATTCGTTTAATATATACGAAATATTAATAGGCTATTCAAAATTTCAACTAAATATTACCAATGACAAAAAGTGTAATAAATGTTGAGACACTGGGTGAAAGTGGAACTATTTTGAACATACGAAAGATTTTTGAGATATTTTTGTTCAGATTGATAACTTGGAAAAAGGGTACAGCAATATCTGGTGTATACTATGTAACTATATTTCACAATTTTGATGCCTATTTGAAGAACAACCGTCTAGGCGAAACATCCGCCAAATAGACTATCGTTTCACAGGCAAAATTGCAAGATTTCTTATTCGCCAGATTTACCCCCTTGAGACTATTTCTTGTTTGCAAACTACTAAAATACTACTACTACTACTGCCCTACCCTGATATTGCCGTTTGACTACGAACAATGAGATCACTGTCGAATCTTCACACTATTTTGAAAAATTCGAGATTCGACATTCGAGAAAAAAATTCTTTTTCGGATGAGACAATAAGCTGCAAATGATTCTAAATGTAAACATCTGAACAAAAAACAGTCTTATATTTCACCGAATATTTTAAAATTTTAATTATATTACATGCCATATTGGCGTGACGTCACATATAATTATTATGAGGTTAGGTCCTTATATTGATTCTAAACGAACCCACCGTCATTAATTCACGTTAGAATAATTTTGAAAATAAGGTCTTAGATCAAAAACGCAGCTGCAACGACTAAAATTAAACTAATTTGTAATTTCACCAAAAAGCTGACAACATAATTATTGGAAAATTGTTCCAATTATTCGAGAAAAACGATTAAGATTCATTCCTAGCTAAACAATTAAGGTTTAACAATCTACACACACTTTTTATCAAATACCTCAAGTTAAAATTAGAATACTTATTTTTGAGTAGAAGTGTAACTGTTTTAAGATATTTTGAAGAGCATACTCCTAATTTTCTGCTAAAAGGACAGGTAAGAGATGGTCAAAATAAAACTCTTCCAGTTTTTGCAACGCATTATTCCAAAATTGCTCATCCCTAAAAATCCTTTCGTACAACAACCCCAAAGGTGTCCAAACTACGAAATAACAATACTGTCTACCGGTTACAAACAGCTGCCCTTGCACTTGATAATAATACTTATCTTCTCTTTTCAGCTTAAATTGGTTATTTTCCAAAGTAGCAAACTGTATCAATTTCGATCTGATTCCTTCTTCTGGTGTTACATCCTTGGCCTTATAAGGACACTTGATTTCCACAAGACCGTCTTTTCCTATCAAACCATCAGGAGAAGCTGCCAAAAATGGGTAATCTTTGCTAACAAATACTCCACAATTGATCACTTTTACCGCCAGCAGTTTTTCGAAATCCTTCACGGCATTTAGCTCGTTATCATTACCATATTTCGTATAAATGTTACCAAAAAATTTGCTGTTTAAGAGTTCTTCAACCACTTTTTTCCTATCGGTGGAATCTCTAAGTTTACAGATGCGACCGAAATTGGACGCTGTCAGCCTTTCCCTTCTCTCTTTAAACCACACTGAACTATCTTTTTGGTTCAACGTCATTTTCTGCAGTTCATCTATTTCCTGTGGTGTTTTCTGCAAGGCTTTCAAAAATTTAGTTTTTTTCTCTTCATATGTATCCGATCTAAGCTGTGGTTTGTCTACGCTATTCAATTTCGGTATACTAGACCTAGGACTTCGCTTTCTTTGGTTTAAGTCATTAGTATTTGGTATTTTAGGTGTGGAAGTTCTTAAAATTTGATGTTCAAATCCTAAAGTTTCAATATCTTGCGCTTTTGGAACAACATCTTCACCGATCTTACTTAAACTTTCGTCTTTGTAGGTAGTGTCATTGTATATTTTATAAATTTCGTCTAAATACTCGTTATAACTTTCTAAAGGTACGAGAGGCATACGTAAGGAGCTGCAAATCTCATTTAATCCATAAAAATTAAGTCCCAAACTGATTATACCCGCTACAAATGCCAAATTAACATCCAGTAGATCCGACTCAGACTCCTCGTTACAGACAGAATGTTGGGCTTTACATTTACGACACTCTAGAACAAAAATCGATAAAAATCCATCCCTAACTTCGCTCTTGAAGATGATGTCAGAATTGTTGCAAAACCTCATGAACTTGTGCGGGAATTTTAAAACTTCTCGTATAAAAAATTCCGGATCTACTATTCTTCGTCCTTGGCGGTACGTAAAGCTGGGTTGGTCCCTAAAAAATAGATAATATTAAAAATTATCAACCTTTAATGTATGTTTGATTTTCTTATCGTTATGTAAGTTTGTTAAAGACAGAGGACTAGGTTTAAGGTTGTTAATTTTTAAAATTACCTATTTGTGGGGCTAAACCAAAAGTATGGATTACTCTATGAATAATTGAAGTTTTGCTCGCTAAAGAAGGCAAAAACACGCCTAAAAAGAGCTTCCTCCTAAACGCTGAGCGTGACGTTTTCGTAACATTTGGTACACAGACGCCGATGGGATCGGTATCGTCACGTTTCAGTGTCAGTTTCAAATCCGTTTTGATTAGGTTCGCGCGGCAGCCTCGCGTAGAATGTTGCTATTTGACAGTGTAATATCGAAAAGCAAGTTTATACCGTGCTGTGGCGTGTTTATTGTTATAAATTATGGACTGTCCTACGTTTTACGGTAAAAAGTCTTCCCTTGATAGAGGAGAGTAGTATAGATACTGAAGATGGTTCTGATATTAATTTCGACGATTTGGGTAATTACTTATGTAGTTGTTTTTATAGTTTTCTAGTCATGTATATTACCTGTTTTGTCTCTTTGAATTATAGTTTGAATAATTGACTTATTTTCAGATTTAGACTTTGAAGCTATTTATCTCAAAATCAGACTTGTGTGGGTTGACCCTTTTTTGCATAATATATATATATATATATATATATATATATATTATATATATATATATATATATATATATATATATATATATACCGTATATTCCCTCTAGGTATATTAGATGTGCCGTGAAATTTCTATTGAAATATAACCCTCTATAGCGAGGCAAATTTGGTTATAACGAAAGAAAATAACAACGAAAAACGTGTTTTTTACGTTTTTAGCCCAACGGTGGCTATAAATAAATACCCTTTTAACTGCCGCCCGTAATAAACCTCTGTTTAATCTACCGACCGATATTGTGTTGTCCGAAATTTACAATTTATGATTCACAAGTGTCAGTGTAGGGGTTTGACCATTCGCATCTAATAAACTACGTAAAGAGGCATAAAAACATGACAAATGAAATAAATTTCACCATAATTTCATTTCACAATTGTTTTTGTCATAGATGTTTACCGTTTGTTTCCTTATTGTGCTTTCGCTTCTTGAAAGTTGTGGTGTAGACTACATAGTCACATAGATTACACACTATGACTCCTAAGGAAAAGTATTTACTTTAGAAGAAAAAATTAACATCCTTAAAGCTGTTAAGAATGGTAAGAAGAAAGCAGAAGTCTATCGTGAAAGAGGAATTTCAAGTTCCACTCTATCCGTGGATACATGGAAGAGTGGGTGGATGAGCCGTTTTAAGGTCAGGCACGAAATTACGTGTGGAAAAATTTGCGATGAAGCGAAGAGTATTTCCAAAGAAATCACCGACAACTGGTTGAACTCATGGCCTACAATAATACAAAATAATACAAAATTAATAATGACGAAAATGTTTTCAATGCTGGGACTTTTTTTTTAAACTTACTTCAGATAAGACCTTCAAATTCAAAAATTAACGTTGTATAGGAGGCAAGTTATCAAATGAATGAGTCACTGTACTCGCGTGTGCCAACATGTCCGGTTCCGAAAAACGGAAGTTAGTTCATTGGGAAATCTCAAAAGCCACGATGTTTCAGAGGTGTGAATCAACTTCCTGTCACATATAAATTTAATAAAAAATCGTGAATGACAGCAGAGATTTTTTGTGGAGATCTTTTGTAGTGGACCAGAGAGTTGTGACATCGAAAGATTCTTTTAATTGTTGACAATTATACAGCCCATCCGAAAGTTAACAGTTTAAAAAACATTAAACTTCTTTTTTACCCCCAAATTGCACATCTGTTCTACAACCGATGGATTAGGGCATCATAAGATTCCTTAAAGTTCTCTACAAAAAACTGTTAGTTAAGCGGATCCTGAATAATTTGAAAAACCGTAGGGAATCCTGTTACTTTATTAGATGCCATAAATTTCATCCACAAAGCATGGATATTCGAAGATAAAAAATACCATCAGAAAATGTTTCGGTCATGCGGGGTAAACAGACTGAGGTAGAAAACGAAGAAGATGAATATCCTGTAGTAGAGTGGTTGAGGTTACAACAGCAAGGTCAAGAAATAACCCAACTAAACAATGATGACGAGTTCGCTGAATTCATTGCCATTGATGATGACGTCATTGTTTGTGATCTTCCGACGGATAGTGAAATTATCGCGGAAGTAATGAATCCGCCGGCGGAGCGCGTTATCGTCAGTGACGAAAGTGATGAAGATGGAGAAGACAATCGCGCCGAATCTACACAAGAAGGTCCTAATAGACAAGATATGGAAAGTGCTTTAAACGTTGTAAGAAACTTTATCCAAAAACAAAACGCAAATGAAGAAGCATACAACTGTGTCAACATCTTTAGAAAATATGATAGAATAATACTGGACAATTTAAAGCAGCCAAAAATGGCATGACTTCTTCCAATTGCAGGAGCAATAGTTTATGTTGCCCTTGAAAATACGCTTTATACATTATGTAGTTGGAAAAAAATGTAAGTACAGATTTTTTGTTTTAACGTATATCATTGACAATAAAAGTAAACAATTTTTTTTATCAATTTATCAAACACTATTTAGTATCTTATTATATTGCTCCGAATGGCTTCACTATTAGAAATTTATTGTTTTAGAAAACTACATATTCATATGTATGCATAGTATTATTGTTGTCTGATTTATCGAGATCGGTTTATAACGAGGTAATTAGTCTGCCATTTGTACTGTATATATATATATATATATATATATATATATATATATATATATATATATATATATATATAACAGACAATAAAAAACAGGTGCTTCAAAGTGAGTGTCTTTTATTAGTAGTCAAGCTTTCGCCACATAATTTTTGGGCTTCATCAGAACTTGCTGTAATGGAAAAACATTCTTTACAATCATCGTAATTAAAGATGTTATATTTAATATTACCTTAACGTTGACACTATTTCTTAGTGTAAATTATTGCAGATGTGGAACTACACATTGTTTTTCAAATACAAACCAAAACGCATCTCCTACTTAGAGGTAGACGGCAAACAAAGCTTAAATTAAATAATTATTAAATTTGTTATATTTTATTCACCATGTGGCCGGTATTATTTTTGACAAGACATTGATTAATTAAGTCATGTGTCATATCGACTGTCACTTATCGATACGGCACCTGTCTCAATTAATTCTTCTTTTTGTTGGGTATAAGACACTACCTTTCTTCAGTCACATTATTATGACTGAATAATGAATTTCGTTTAAAATCACAATTAAAATTGAATATATGTATACACACATATATACATATATATATATCCATATACACATATATACACATGCACACACACATACGAGTGTATATAGTTCCCGTTCTATATGAGCATATCATGTTTAAAATTCTTTTGGTTTGTATTTAGTGTTGTATATAGTGGTCAACACTACGGTAAGATGTATGTATTACATACCTTCTGTTAGAGAACTAAGTGTATCATGATGCTGATGGATGTAAAAATAAAACTAAAAGTTGGAGCTTGTTCTCAAAAGGGAGGTAATACATCCGGATAGATGTTAGTGTATATCACAGATATTTCGTTGTTTTTTTTTTTACATTCATTTATGTTAGTAGTATAAACACAATATGTCCAAAGAAGGGTCGGACATTTACAGATATGCTAAGATTTAACAATAGACAATATAGTCTAGTTGACTGAACATAAAATATACAAAAGGAAAAACATTCTTTGTATATGACGTTAAGTTGTAAAATGTTTTTGTTTTTATTTAAAATTATTAACATATTGACTTATAAGTTAAATTGAATAAAAGTATAAATTTAGTGCAGGCAATCAACTAAGTCATAAGAGGTCGAAATACATCAAACGTACGATTCAGTGAAGTGTGGATCAGCAATGTTATGTAATTCTTGTGTAATAAGGTGGTAGTTTTTTATTTTTAGTGAATTTCTGTTGTAAAACATAAGTATAGATGGAACTCAAGTTATCAACATCTTTTTTGTGGTTTAATGAATTAGAACAATTATTGATGTAACACATTTCTAGGATTTTTCGATGAGCTTCTTTTTCAGCTCTATCTAGAATTATAGTTTCATTGTATAAGACCCGATGGTCATTATCGTTGACATGGATACTCAAACTTGTTGCTAGGGGTTTGTGTTTACAATCACTTTTGTGAAGGGCTAGGCGCTTACTAAGTCGTTGACTTGTGTGGCCTATGTATATTTTGCCACATTCACAGGGTATACCATAGATTACGTTGCAGTTTTTATCTGGTGGAATAGGATCTTTTAATTTAGAGTAGAACAAGTTGAGTTTTTTGTTATTATAATTGGCTATTTTGATGTTGAATTGTCTAAAACGTCTAGTTAGAGATTGTGTTAAACCTTCAATGTAAGGTAATGATCCATACTTCACCTGTACGACGTCATCAGATGTCGATCGATCATGAATAGAAGTATCGCCACGTGCACTGCGTTCTGTGTGTGAATACAACAGTTTGTTAAGCAAGTTTTTTGGATAATTGTTACATATTAGTGTGTCAAACAACAGTTTTAAGTTCTTTTCAGTAAAATTTGGATGTGAAATTTTTAATATTCTATTTTTCATTGCTAGAACGGTGTTAACTTTCTGTTTCATGGGATGATATGAGTTAAAGGGTATGTATCTACCTGAGTTGGTAGTTTTTCTATACCAATCTAAACAGATGGTGTTATCATCCATTCTAACAACTCTTGTATCAAGAAAGGGTACCGAAGAGTTTGACTCCTCCTCAACAGTGAATTGTAAATGACAATTAAATGAATTGAAAATTGTGAGTGTATTTTGTATCTCATCTTTTGGTACTGATGTTATTAAATCATCAACATATTGGTAGAGAAAAGGAATTTGGAATTGTACCTGTTGGTATACAAAATACA